GAGGCAAGGCCCTTGACGCCTGGGGCTGGAAGCTGGAGACCGTGGACCTGGATAGCATCGGAGTAGCGGACATGCCGGCCAGACTGGCTGTCGTAGTAGCTCGTCACAGTACTAAGTGGCGTCTTCTCAATCGTCGTCATCGTCCCAAAGGCGCGGCGACGTCCAGTCCGCAAAAGCGCCCGCAGCATACTTCAACACCCGCGTGGGGGTTGGTAAATCTCGACCAATCCACTATAAAGAGTGTAGCAGCGTTTGTATTAAATTCTTGCGGATACTGTGTAAATACTAATACTTATACTCCTTTTTATTCCCGATCCTGCCCACAATTCTTCAATTTCGCATATGACGCACAACGAGCTCACTCGGCACGATCCCCACGCCGTTCTCATCAGCGGTACATGGTTTATATTCACCCCTCGTTCTTCATCGGGACCGATCTGGCTCGAGTGTGGAGTGAGGAGCCGCCCGCATGGAGCGTATATTCATGAGCGCGTCATCATGATTGCCGTACATTTTGAACTATCTACAGCAGTCCATTCACGAGATACCGTTTTGTGCATACCATGCTATCATCTTGTCGAGCGAGGGCGTGCTCCGGTCTCGACCAAGTCGACACAGTGTGGTCTGTGCTGTGATTACCATGTGAAGCTTTAAAGTGCACTAATATTTTACCGCTTGGTAGCTATCCTTCGCGGATGGTGAAGCATTTACCGCTGCTGTCGTGAAAGCTGAGCAACATCGGCGACTGGGACGTCAGGATCGTGGAGTTGGTGAGGTGGTCACACAGACCCTGTAGGACTGCCGCACCTTTCGTCGAGGTAGCAGGCTTCGAAGGTCGTGGGTTCCCATCGATAGAAAGATAGCATATTTTTGCTGGCATCCGCTGCGCATGCACGAAAATCGCAACGCGGCAAAAGAGTATTAAGGTACGTATTGATTGCGATCAACACGACGTTCTAACGCATCAAGCGCTCGGCCTGCATTGAGCTTGTGCTTGCAGGCGGCATTGTAAAGCGCATCATCTTTCGCTCAGCTGGGCGCAATCTCAACTGCCATCGGGCGTGGGCCCGATGCGTGACGACGACACTCTATACGAGACGCCAGTACACCACCAACCCAATCATGTGAGGCGGTTCGTCGCCTCGGTGTATGCCGTACTCGAAGTACACGGCATCGAGGCGTGGGGTCGAGGCTTGCCCGACGCAATACAATGCGTGGTGATGGGCGCTCGGGGCGCAGTACCAGGCGTGAGCTTGAAGTGCGCTATATTCGAAACCACGAAGTGTTTTCTTCCTATGCAAACCCTCAATCAGCAAAATCCCACTCGCCAGCTCTGCCCTACGATCGAGAGCTACTGTATAACGGAGTCGCCCAAACTGTATCAGATTGAGGGCTTTGGTTCCATGGGAAGGGGACTGCCGTCAGCACGCATTTCGGATCCGACCATTATTCTAGCGTTGAATCAGGGTCCGAAACCGGTTGTGATGCCGACTTCTCTTGCAGTCACCACGAAGCTGGTAGAGGCGAGCATCGCCGACCACCACTCAGTTATATAATTGTCGTGCGTGGAGTTCATCCCCACGAACGTCCATGTGTTCGCAGTCCCAGTTGTTCCTCCTCAGCTTCACCAACGGAATACCACAGCAGCGGCATGCCTAGGAAAATGAATGGATTTGGAAATGTAACCAGAAGCGAACCACTATATTGAGAGGACTTGATTTTGGCCGACAGCATCCCGTCGTTCAGGTTTCAAATAGGTTCCTTGCAGGGCGGGCAGGTAGAAACTAACCCTTATCGCGTATTTGTAGCATGACCACTAGGAGGTTCGGAGACCAAGGAGTGCACAAACCGCAAGCATGGAGATGACAGGTAAATTGAAAGTGCAACTCGAAGCGAATTAAATATGGTGCGACAGTGCTTGAGTGCCGGTGTTCAAGAATGGGTTTCACGCACTCGTGGCGGCGAGGGTGGTTGCATGGAGCGTAGTTCATGAGGGCGCATAGACATCAACGAGGCTGCTGGTCGTGAACAGCTACCGTCGCACTGGGACCGGCATCCGACGCGATACTTGTTTTGTTGGCGTCTATGCATCAATGGCCATGAGATGGCCTTCTCGCTTGGATACGTCTTACCAACGAAACTACATAGCTCGCTCGCGCTGCCACGTCATACTCTTGTGTTCTGCAAAACCGTGGCGTGTTTTTATCCTCCTTCCGAATGACGTGGAGATTTCGGATACGATGGTCGCGTATCCGTATTCGTCAAACTCGCACTTCCTCCCATTCTTCCTTCGCCAACGATGAAGCTCCCGACGCTCGACACGCTGCGCAGCATCCCGCCCGTCTTCATCACGCTGGGCCTCGTCCTCGTCTCCAAGACAGTCGTCGACCCGGAGAACATGGGTACGTCACGCAGCACCTCCTCTCGGTGCTCATCGTCGGCTGCCAGTGCACCTCTGGCTCGTGCGCGGGCTCTACGGGATCGCCCAGCTTAGCTGCGTCCTCACTCTCTTCTACCTCTACCTCCAGGCTCGCGTACGCTCAGCCTCTCTCCTGTCGCATCGTGACTCACGATACCGTAGAACAACCCCGATCCGGCCATGGTCGTCGTCAAGGAAGACCTTGGCTTTGGCATGGAGGGCGAAAAGACCGAGAAGATCACGGTCGGCCTCCATGACCAGCGCGTGGCCTTGAAGGAGATGCAGAAGATCGTCTTGGGCCTCGCCGTCGCGTGCTTCCTGCACGTCAAGTGGGAGTTTATCCCGCCGCTTGTCATTGGCATCTTTAGCGGCCCGCACGGCTTGTACAGCACGCCCATCGTAGGCTGTCGTACGACCTTTTCATTGGCTGATTGAATGCTAGGTGCGCGTCTTGCTGCGTGGCGAGCGCGCGTGGGGCAAGCTTCAGCGTCCGTGGGCCGAGCCGGCGTCGGCGATGGCGAGCCAGTGGGAGTCGTGGAACGATACGATCACGTCGGCGCTGACGGGCGAGCCGATGCAGAAGAAGAGCAAGAAGGACAAGACGAGCAAGCGCAAGAACAAATAGAGTTGCTTCCTCCACCGATAAGTGTCCGTCATCCAACTACTGTACAGTGCACCGATGCCAGATGATCGTCTTTTTTCCCCGGTGTCCATTAGCATGGGCGTAAGTTACAAGTTACTACTATCATGTGCACACAAATACACGCGCCATCGCTCACGCGGACACAGCGAACGGAGGCCGATGCGTGCGCGCCGGAGACTTGTACACTGGCACGTACAACGCGACGCAGGCGCGGAGGAGGAGCAAGCGCGGCAGCAAACTAAGCACGACCAGCGCACCTGGCGCAGCGCGGTGCAAAAACCAAAAGTGGTGCACCAAAGGCCGCGCGGCGATTGCCAGCGTTTCCTTCATCTTTTCGACTTCCTTGGGTAGGTCGACATGGGTGCCACTTGTCTCGGTTGGGGTACCTTCAGTGCCTTCATTCGCGGTCGCGGCTTCAAATTCAGGCTGAACTTCGTCACTGGCCGCTTCGTCAATGACGGCTTCTTCGCTGGTGGCTCCGTCACTCACCAGTTCGTCACTGACGGCATCGTCGCTTGCCGCTTCGTCGCTCGTACCATTGTCCGGAATCGAGACCTCATCGTCGTCGAGCGAATGTTCATCGTCGGTGGGAATGCCTTCGACCTCGTCAGGCTCGTGGAAGGACGGTGTGCGCACGATGGTCGGGCGCGTGAGCACGCCAAAGACGCGGAAGACGAGGGCAAGGTACGTGAGCACCGACTTTTCATCGACCCCGACCTCGAAGTCCTCTACTTGCAGCAGTTGCGGCACGTCAAAGGTCTGCTCGAGCACGTGAAAGGCCAGTGCGAGGTTTTCGGCGGCGTTCGCCGGTGACAGCGACTCGATCGGGATGAGCGCCGGGTGGAACGCCGAGATGAGTGCGCAGAACGCGAGGCCGTTGCGCCAGCTCGACGTAAAGTTGGTGACGCGGACAATGTCTGGGAACGCGTCGAGACAGTCCTTGCACCAGAGCAAGAGACCTTCCTTGCCCGTCACGCCATGGAAACTGATGTCTGCAAGCTGATAGTGCTTGATGATAGTCCACATGAGCCTATCGTGCGTGCATTGGCTTATGCTCGGAGAGGAGAGAATACACGAACCCAAGCACGAGCTTCGAGTTGCCGTCGACAATGTCGGAGGAGCCAATGTTAGTCACGGTCACGTTCTCCTTGGCCATGAAACCCACGACGTGGTTGAGATTCTCAAGCATGTGAATCCGGTACTTGACGACCTTGTTGTACTTCTACGTACAGCAAATGAATCGCCACGGCGGAAAAATGCATCATCAGTACCGCACAGACAGGCTTCTGGCTAATGCGCTCAAGCAGCGCGATGAGGCGCAGACCGTCCTTGAGGTCCTCATACAGGTCGTCGACGGCCATGTCGGGTGGCAGAAAGACGTTCGCCCACTAGTCGTACAAGAGCTGAGGTGGTAGTCGCATGGAGCTAGGCCGTACCCGCGTGAACGTGTGCTTCTGCACCTCGACCCATCCTTCGTCAACCGCGGTCGTCCGTCTGCTCATGCTGCTGGTGCTGACTTGGCCAGAAACGTGCAATGCGATAAACCCCTCCCCAACGTCATAACCTGATTGGGCCACGCTTTTTCGGGTTAATCCGAATTTTGCTTCTCAAATTCGGATAACACAATCCGAATTTTGCTTCTCAAATTCGGATAACACCGATATCGGCCGATTCGCCGAGGTTGACGCATCGAGCACAAAGGCGACGCTGCAGCGCTCGCTTGCTGCTGCAGCCACGGGCTTGTACCCTGCTCACGACAATCCGCACCACTTGTTCGTACTACGTATATACGAGTTACTTGGCGAGAACTGTATGTGAACGACGCCGAGCAGCAACAACGTTGGAACGAAGCGCCCCAGTGCCAGGTGTCGTCGGAGACTCTCAAGCGTCTGTCTGACGACTTGCATAGCGCTCATGTGTGACCTCTTTCACAAGCCATCTCAAGCAGTCGCAACACGCTGCAAGGTCCGTTCGACTAGGATACGGCCGACGTCGAGTCGTCCCCACGGGAGATGGAAATAACGTCGTCTCCTCAAAGCGTGCTGCGGTTGTCACCATTCTGTGCACAGCTCACAGCGACAACGTCTGCAGTCTGCAACAGAGAGCTGTGGGTGACAAGAAAAAACTTTTTCGGCACATAATACTCGGCACTCTGCGCGGATGCCAACATGAGACGGCATTACGCTAGCGCTGAATGAATCTCGGCGACCTCGTCGACGTCACGCACATATCCACACCGCACCTCTGCACGACAATCTCCGCAATCGCCCAGGCAGCATGAGGCTAGCGCTTGTCACCATGCGGTCGCCACGTTGGTGCGTCAAGTTCGGAACCTGGCAACCCTGGCGCGATCTCTGCATTGTACGACAGCGCTGTCGCCTGCGTGCACTTGCAACCCTGCGATCTCTGCCTCTTCGATATTGGCGTTCCGACGGAACGCGGTTTGCTTGCCATCGGTTGTATGCGTCGTGGCTCCATGCGATCTTGAGCATGTTGGGTGCGAGACCGATCTTATGGGACGACGCGAAGACAAGCAGAAAGCCATCAACAGAGGCAGGTGCATCGTCGGTCGTTGATTTCTTCTCGTCTTTACCGCAACCGACCCAAGTCGCATGCGCGTGAATGGGGGAGTGCCATGCCAGTGCGGGAGAGTACACCATGCTGAACTGTGTCAACCATCACGCCAGAGACAAGAGGAGGCCGAAGATGATCATGCGGTCGAGATCGCAGTGGCGACGGCGTCGGCGGCCGCGTCGGTGGCGCCGGCGTGTTACTCACGTCTGGCCGTGACCACGGTTAAAAAAAGCCGTCTGTTTTTTATTCATGCGTGACATTAAAATTCGTTGGTGTTCCCATGGGTACGTTCCGTGACACATCATGACAAATGTATGTAATCGGCTCCGCAGGCGCGGTATTTTTATTCGGGATGGGCGACAAATTTAAAAAAGTTTCCACCGACGAGAAAACAAATAGAAATTGCACCTTTCGAAGGCAAATGCAAGCCGAGGGCCATTTCCGATCAACCTACGGCCGAGGAAGCTTGAGCAGCATGGCGGGGGGCAACCACAACGAAGGATGGGTCGACGTCCAGAAGAACACCTTCACGCGCGTACGAGCTTCCTCCCCTCCATGACCAGGACCATCCTCATCATGCTGCTGCTCTTACTAGTGGGCCAACACGCACCTCTCCAAGAAGCGCATGGACATCAAGGACGTCTACGAAGACCTCAAGGACGGTCTGCGCCTGATCGCGCTCCTGCAGATCGTGAGCCGCCAGCAAGTTGCGCCGGTAGATGGCCCCTCCCTCGACAAGTTCTCAACCATCGCATCTGCTGCATGTAGAAGTACAACAAGAACCCGAAGATGCGGATCCAAAAGCTGGAGAACCTCAACCTCGCGTTCAACTTTATGGCCCGCAACGGTGTCACGGTCACCAACATTGGCTCGTCGGACATTGTCGACGGCAACAGCAAGCTCGTGCTCGGGTATCCATGGACTGCACGAAACGACGATTGCCCACGTGCAACATAGGCTGCTCTGGACCATTATCAAGGCCTACCAAGTCAGCGACATCGCCGTTGACGGTGTCTCGGGCAAGGATGGTACGGCCTTTCTGTATGTCATGGAGATGAGGCTGATATCGATTGCGCGCAGGTCTCCTCCTCTGGTGCAAGCGGTCCCTTGCGGACTACCCGACGGTGGATGTGACCAACTTTACGTCGAGCTGGACGAACGGTCTCGCGTTCTGCGCGCTGATTCACAAGCACTACCCCAACCTGCTCGACTTCGAGTCGCTCTCGCCCGAGAACGCCGAGCACAACGTGTCGCTTGGTACGTTGGCAATATGCATCGCAATTTGTCTCATCACGGTCATCTAGCGTTCACGCTTGCCGAGACCAAGTTTGGCATTCCGCAGCTCCTCAACGTCGCCGACGTCGCCGGCAACCCGAAACCCGATGACAAGTCGATCTTGACATATGTTTCGCTGCTCTTCCAGGTACGACGACAACCGTCCACACCAACTCGACACGTAGCGTTCTCTAGGAATTTGCCTCGGATATGCAGAAGAAGAAGGCCATCACGACGATCTGCAAGGCTGTGGGCATGTCGCAGCGCATCAACGAGCTCAAGGGCCACTACGAGACCTCGGCGCCTCAGCTCTTGGAATGGTACACGGCCAAGATGAGCGCGTGGACCGCCCCAGAAGCTTCGGCGCCGCTTGCCACTGGTACCCAAGCATGTCCGTTCCACCACACACTAAACATGCATGTGCAGTGCAACAAGCGCTCACGCAGTTCAACGAGTACAAGCGCACGGAGCGCCCTACGTACGAAGCGGCCTTTGTCCAGCTTGAAGGTATGATGTCACGAAGGATATCGACGGTCACTCATGAACGACGCGAAGGCTGCGCGGGCCGCTGGATCGCTGCCTGCAAGAACAACCACCGCCCGGAGCCGACGATGTCGCCGTCGTTTGACGATATCGCCGCGCTTCGCAAGACGATGCAGGGTACCTGACGCATATTTCTCGAGCTCGGATGACTAAAGCGTCCTGGACACAGAAAACGAAGTCGCGTACGAGACGGCCCTCCGCGCGCATGTCTTTCACTGCCAGCAGAACGGTAGGACTCATTGCGCATGGACTGTTTCCGAAGACAACGCATCGAATTAGATGCGATCATGAACACGGTGCTCTCGGACTTGGTCAAGCTCGAGACGTGGCTTGACAAGGTCGCCGCCGAATTCAACGACGAGACGCTTGCCGTGCACAGCTCGGTGCAGGCCGGTGCGTCTACCTCGAGCAACTCTCTGGACTCATGTATCCGCCACGTTTTGTAGAGGAAATGGACGAGAGCCTTCGCTTTTTTGAAGATGTCGAGATCCCGCGCTACCGCCACGTGCTCGAGAAGGTGCAGGCGGCGGCCGAAGCCCACTTGAGCGAAGCGCTCACGTCGGCGTCCACGACGGATCGCATCGCGGCGGCAGAGACCCGCTTCAACGCCACGCTTGAGAGTATGGCAGCTAACAAGGAGACGGTCGGCAGCGCGCTCGTCTTTCAGCGCGAAGTTGACGCTGTGGCCAAGGAGATGCGGTAGCCTGCTCCTGTTGCCTGTATTTATCGTGCCGACTATGTACTGTTTAGCGCGAGTATGAAGACGCTCAAGAACCACTTGGAGGAGGTCGACGAACTCATCGACGACCAGAACATTCATGCTGTTGGCGACGGCACCGAGGACGCGCTTGCTGCCATGAAGGCTGACTTTGAAGCTAACATCTTCCCCCGCGTCGACGCCGATGTCGTCACCAAGTTCGAAGCGGTGCGTGCACCGAGGACACTGACGTACGGAAACTCATGATGATGAGGCAGGACATTGCGTCGAAGCGTGAGATCTTGACGCAGGCTAACCGCGAGACGGACCTCGCGACGCTCGATTCGTTCCAGAAGAAGGTCCACGCGCTCGTCGCCAAGCGCGATGCCAAGCAGGCCGAGCTCTCGCAGGCCGTCGAAAACGCGCAAAAGCGTGTGACGCTTAGCTTGTCGTTTGCGGCGCTCGCGACGCAGGTCGTCGACAAGGCAGCGCACACGACGTCGCAGGTATCGCTACCGTATATTGGTACACGGTATATTTATGCTGTTGATGCAGATCAACGCAACGGAAGGCTCGCTGGCTGACCAGCTCGCCAACCTCCAGCGCATCGACGGCGAAGAGATGCACGCGTCGTCGCCCGAGACGCTTATGGGTCTTATGGAGCAGCTCGAAGCTGTGAGCGACCAACTCGAAGCGCTTCGCGTCTTTTCCAACCCGCACACGTCCGAGACGATTCAGAGCTGCCGCGCACTCTTCACGGGTGTCCAGTCGGGCTTGATGGAGCGCCTTCACGCGCTTGAGAAGGAGATCGCGATGGACCGTCTTGGCCACATTACGCCGGCGCAGCTCCAGGAAGTTGAGGAGGTCTTTAACCACTTCGACGTCGACAAGGACGGCCAGCTTGCGCGCGACGAGTTTATCACGGCGTGCAAGGCGCTCGGGTACGACATGACGGAGGACGAGTGCCACAACATGTTCGACGAGCTCGATACGGACAAGAGCGAGGACATCTCTCTCCACGAGTTCTCGACCTTCTGCGCCGAGCAGTTGCAGTCGGGCACGACGCAGTCGGACGTGCTGGCGGCCTTCGAGATGCTTGCCAAGGACAAGACCATCTCGCGCGAGAAGCTCACAACGCACTTTGAGCCTGCGATCGCCGAGTACCTCATCGAGCACATGCCGCACCTCTTTGAGAAGCAAGAAGACGAAGACGTCGAAGCCCGTGAAGTCTTGGACTACAACTCGTTCAGCGCCGACCTTTTCCAGGGCTAAGCGTACAGTGCCAAGTTTTCTCTCTCTAAATCTACTAACTACGTGTGTCCTGCTTTTCTGCAACATTATTGCCGCCCTCATTTATTTTTCTACACTACGTGGAACGCCCTCGTGACAAGCCAATCGCGTCCTGGGACGACTTGGTCCGTCCACTGGCTGCACAGTAAAATACTCGCGGCAATGCAGTATCAGTTGAAGCCAGCTTGTGTCCATCTCTCTGCATTTGACGTTGTGCACAATGTATCGAGCAGTCGTCGGGTGCGACCTTGGGTGTTGGTGCCATGGTGAAAAGTCGTGGGAGGTAACCAGACGAATGACAAAGTCCTTTGTGTCATGCGGAACAACAGATCCTTGCAACCCTAACCCTGGGGTGAATCGACGCTTGGCTCGTCCAGGACACTGGAGTCCTTCGTCACTACAAGGGTAGACCTGTATACGCGTACTAGTATCTACAACCTCAGCGGCTAGTAGTACGATATCCTGCTGCGCCACGAATACGAGAATGGAATTCCCATCGGAATGCGAATATTTTTTGCATTGAAATATAATTCTGAAACTTTATTCTCATAATATACACTTGTTTTTTGTAGTGTGGTACAATAGACGCACAAATTATCATTTAGGAATTTCGATTTGACGAGGCTAATAAAAATGGCCGGCGCTCGGTATCGCAGTTGTGAAATTGCAAAAGGATGGCGCAGATGATTCCCGATGGGGACGTGAGCCTCTACTGGGGCGACGAGCTCGACTCGGTGGACATAGCCGACGTCATGGCCTCGGCTCTCTTGGTGGCGTCCGACGCCGATCAGCTTCCCGTCATCTCGGAGGCATCGCTCTTGGACTTGCTCTCGGACGATACGACTGACCTATCGATGCTCCTCGACTTTGAAAAGACACCGGACGAGCTCCACATGCAGTGGACGTCGTCGGTGGAGGCGAAGGCGTCAACTCGACCTCGAAAGCTCTGCTCGCATCCAGGCTGCGGCAAAACGGCGCGGGTCAAAGGCCATTGCACAGCGCACGGGGGGCGTCGATCGTGCAGCGAGCCCGGCTGCACAAAAGTGCCTCAAGTCGGTGCCAAGTGCTCCGATCACGGTGGCTTCACCAACTGTACAGTGGAGGGCTGCAAGAAGCGAGCGCAGTCCAAGGGTCTCTGCAAAACCCATGGTGGCGGCATGCGTTGCCAGGCCGACGGCTGCACGAAAGCCGTGACCTCGAACGGCCGTTGCCGATCGCACGGAGGTGGGTCCAAATGCTCGGTCGCAAACTGTGAAAAGTGGGCCCAGCGGCGAGGATTGTGCACCTCGCACGCCAAGCAGATGTAAGAGATGCATACAGTGTTTTTATCGATCAAAGGGTTGTAGTCGAGCGAGCTAGACAATGGATTCGTCTACAAGGGCTGGATGGTAACCTTATCGTCGGTCATGACGGCCTTGGCACCCATTTGAGCCAAGTCGACGTTGGACTGGACGCCTTGCGGCGCAAGCGCCTTGATATATTCTTGGTTGGCCTCACACCCTGCACAAAATATAAAGATATATAATATCCCATCCTCGACGCACCTTCGCAGACGTGGCGCAGCGCCACCAGTGCCCACTCCCGGATCATGGGGTTGGTCTCGTCAATGTTGCAGCTAATGGAATATTGCGTTCGTAATCTTCATCGCGCACTATTCAATAGCGCACCTGTTTAAGAGCACTTCAATGCCACCGCACGACCGCATGAGGTCTTGGACGGCAGGATTGCGGTGCACGAGGTTGCCAAGCACGCGAATACCAGCCGACTTGTACCCATAGTAGTAGTCCACGTCCCTAATTCTGAATCTACAAACAAAAAATGCGAAAACCAAAAGCGTACCCGTCCTCGTCGGTCGGCTTGTTGGTCAATTTCCCCGTCACGGGGCGGGCCGCGGCCGCGCGGTGCATCTGGTGCACGAGTGCGGGCACGAAGGCGAGAACGTCTGCTTGCACTGCAGCGTCGGTGAGCGACGTCGGCGGCAACGTCGTCGTCAGCGTCCCGAGAATGTGCAGCATGAGCTTGGAGGCTTCGATTTCCATGACGCGCCACATGGCCTCGCGGTCTGCAGACGGCGGCGCGTCATCCACGCCAGCATCCTTGGTCTCATGGAGGGCGACAAACTCGGACAGAAAGAATGGCAAGAGAGACGGGTCGTCCGTCGCGTGCACCTGCACCTTGGTCGCTGGCTCGTCGTCCGTCGCAAGACACATGTCGAGCATGCGCAGGAGCAGAATCTGCTCCGGCGTGAGCCGAGACCACAAGGCGCTACGACCACATGAGCTGGCGCCAACCGCGCGCCGTACCTCAGAAGAGATGCACTCAGGCTGCGATACATGGCACTCGTGTGCTGGCGCTGGAAGAGCTGTTGGAAGAGCAACACAATCCACTCAAACGCTGCGTCCACTCGATCTTCGTCCTCCTAAGATGAATGATGCGTCATAGTCTCGACAAAGACCGAGGAACCTCGTTGCCATGCATCAAACAACGTTGGAGCAGCAAGATGAGTAGCGGTCGCCGGTGCGCTGCCTACAGAGAGACAATGCACATGAATAATGATGTATCGCATTGTTCTGCTTGTACAAGCTCGTTGGCGCGGGCGGCACCGTCGGTCGGCGAGTGCAAGCAGTTGCAGAGCGCCGCGGTCGCGAACCCGAGCAGCTTTCGATGCACTTGACACTCGACCAGCAGCATCTCGAGAAGCTTGGGCTGGAGCAGTGGCCACAGCACGCGCTGGTTCTCTTCGTGGTTGACGACAACGTTCCCGACGAATTGCACCATGACCTGCGACGAGAGCACGAGCAGCTCCTTCATGACATCGTCGTCCGTGTGCATCCAACGAACATGCGCCTCCAGTTGCAGCAAGGTCTACGCCAGACGCTAGAAGCATTGCATGTGCAATGTAGTGGTATACCAGTGGCAAGAGCGGCTGGAGGAGCGTCTGGTTGGCTTCGTTCTGGACGCACACGTTGCGGAGGAAACGATAGGACGAAAGGAAGAGGTAAATCGCGCGCTCGGCGCTAGCAGTGTCGGCAAATGTGGCGGCTACGCGCGGCTCGACCTCGCCGTTGCCCGACTTGGTCGCCGTGTACGAGTACCCAAAGCCATCGTCTTCCTCGTCGCCTTGCACCTAGACAAGACCGTCCGCATGTCATGCATTGGTCGTAAAGCGCGATACCGCGGGCGCGGCTGGCGCATGCGAGGCGAGGTCCTTGGCGACCGAGGCGAGAAAAGTCGGAAAGATGTCAGCAAGCCCCGATGCGGCAAATGCATCACGAAAGGCTGGCGCTTGGCACTGACGGGCGCTGTCTTCGAGTGTCTCGAGCAGGAGCGAAGCGTCTTGCACGCCGGCTACGTCGCGCGGAAGGAGCACGCGGAGATCATGGAGCAGCGGCGAGCTTGTCGTTGCCATGGCACAGTGCTGGAGGATCGACTTGGTGGATTTCAGGGGTCCTCCAACCAATCGAAGCATCACCAAGTGCTCTTGCATACTTTGTTTCATATTTCTCTTTTCAGTAGGTCCCCACCGGGGTCGAAGCGAACCTAATTAAGTGCATACGAAATCAGTGGTGTTCGCTAAGTCGTGATACACTATTACTAAGTGGACAAACACACTCAAATAGCGTTATGCTCTTCGTACATGTATACTGTTATGTCACCAACGTGCACAACACACCAACACCCACAACAGTGCTGATTTCGTTTGTTCACAACGTTGAGAGGACATATTTTCTCGACTATACGGCCTGTGAATACTTACGCTGTAATCAATCGAAACTTACGATAAAGATTTCCTCACGGTGACAACCATCAACGCCATCACCCTCGTACCGTGGTGGCTTCTTCAATTCAAATGTTGTACATCCATTAACGATAGTCTTTTAACGTTAGTTCTTACAGATTACGATAGATTCCTTGTCGCTATGAGGAGATTGTGCTATTAGCCTCGTTGTGAACAACTATAATGACTGTAGTATGGATAGCGTGCGATGAATAAGCGAAATCGCAACCTACGCAATCCACTATTCGAGCGTGAACGCCATCGACTCGACGCCCAGCATCATTAAGAGCGCGCTTTTCACGAGGCCGCGGGTCGGGTACAGCAGCAGATCGATGCGGTTGAAGCACGTGTGCACCTTGGGGAGACACCTGCGACTGTAGGGTGTCGCCTGCAGCGTGAAGAGGCAGAGCTTGCCGTCCTGGCTCGTAAGCCCCTTGAACCTTTGCAGCGGAACGCGCGACGAGCCGGTCGTAAAGTGCAGCAGCTTGGCGCGGTCGGCAGCACTCATGTCAAACTCGAGAACGTCCCCAGAACCACACGAGGGTTGTAGTGCACTGCAGCGAGCGCGACACGATCGTGTGGGTGCGCCAGTCGTCGAGGTCAATGTCGAACGTGCCGCAGAGCAACAGCTCCAGCTCCTTGTGGTCCAAGACCGACACAATCTCACGGAACAGCTCCGCGTAAAAGCCGCGGACAAGGCGTCCGATTTCTTCGACCATTGCCCACAGAGCAGGTGGCCCACCATCGCGTCGACGTACATACTTTTGTTGCTCGCGTTGACCTTGATGTGGCGTCCGTTGGGGACGAGATCGATGACAGTAGTGCGGTCGGTCGCCGTCACGCTAAAGGCAAGTGCAAGCGCGTCGACAACCTCCGACGACGCAATGTACCAGAGACTCGTGTACGTCGTCTCGTCTACGTAGCGGACGTCGAGGATCATGGCGGGTGTGCCGAGCAGCGCCTTGAAGAGCGGTACGCAGAGGCGCATCGGCAGAACATGTCCGTCGATAATGGCTTTCCCAAGGAGCCGCTCCACAGCTTCCAGCTTGTCCAAGTCGTCCGATGACGTGGCGCATGGGTGCGGCATGTACGCATTGTCCTTGGTCGCCACAAAGAAGGTCGACGACAGAATGACTTGTGTGAGAGGACAGTGCGCTGGATACCGCCGGCGTCGACCGCATCTTCGCCCGCCATCGTGACCCGCGTGCGCTGGCAGAGCTCGTCAACTGGCACTGCACCAAGAAGGCGAGTGACGGCTCAAGGAGCTGGTCGCGCGCGACGACAAAGCCACTTCGCTCGGCGTCCGACGCATCAATCTGCTCCAGCATCCACGCGTATTTCAGCGAGAAGGGCAGCGCCACGAGCGACGGCCCACGAGTCGGGAATCAGGTCACTCACCATTGGCGTCGATCCCGACGTCAGTTCCAGCGGCGCGTAGGTGACGAACGTCGTGGCTGCCAGCGACGACGACGCGAACGCAGGGTGTCGGACCCAGACGCTCGTCGGCGCCTCCGTGGTTGGGACGCTGCGCGACCGCAGCGTGCGCGTCCTACACCTCACCGATTTATCGACCCAGTACATCGAGTAATACCGCGCGGCGTGCTGGAGTGCGTTGAGCTGCGCGATGTCTCACGTACTTCCTGTGCGCTCGGCGACGTCGATGGACGAGGCGAGCACAACGCCTACGCGCCGTCTCTGGGCGCACTGTTTGCGTGCGTCTAACATTGTACCTCGCAGAGCGTGCAAACCTCCTCCTCATCGGCGTCGTGGAAGCTGCAGCACCCCTTGGATGATGTCTCGACGCCACTAGGGAGGAATACACATAAAGCCTTTGCTGGAGGCAAACGCGTACGAACCGCGCACTGGTCTTCCATGTCGCCGCGCCGCATGCCGTTGAGGTTCCCGAGGTGGCTACGTGATCGCACATAACTCGTTGCGGAGGAGCTCGGCCTCCGCTCGGCTCTGCACGGCGGCTGCTGCGAACTGTTTTTGGCGGCGCGCCAGATCGCAACGCACATGAGAAACAGCCAGAAGACAACCACCATGATCCACACTGCGTCCACCCTGCCACTCGAAAGCAACGTCAACAATAATGAGCAAACGGTCTCCTCGAACCAGGATATGTGACACGCAAAAAGTTAGCAGAGTGACGGGAAGACAGCTCAGCGTACACGTTGGTAGCAGTGCTTTGGTAGATGCGTCCAGACACTGTTCGAGTGGACAATATTGTCGTGTACTTGGACCGTTCCGTAGTACGATGGCACTAAATATGTCGAGTGACGAGTGCAAAGCAGAATCTAACGCATCGACCACGACCGCAAGCAAGAGAGGTTGAACGACTTGGTGAGCTCCAGCTACAACCAAGGCGGGGACAACTTCCACTTTAGGAAATCGTTGGTTTGCGATAGTAATAAATGTATATTGTACTAGACTATTTCTCCCACTACGACTAAGCTACTAAGAATACGTTCGACGACGCTCACGAGATCTCGGACCACGACGGGCGGCTCTGCGATTCGTCGTGGAGAGGCGGCTTGACGAGGTCCAGCACGACCCTTCGGTTGAGCCAGACGAGCTCCAGCGTCACGAGGAGCGCGAAGAGCGCGACGTACCCGACGCCCTCGACGTAGTCCCGACGCAGCACCGCCATCTTGGCGCCGTAGCACTCGCCTTGGAACGGGTGCGGCGTCTCCTCGTACAATTTCCGGCTCCACACGCCAGGCACGCTGTACACGGCGCAGTAGACCGCGCGAACGTCACCGACCTCCAGCGGACACTGAGCACGCAGCCAGTCGCGCACGACAGGCAGCTTGGCGGTCGCCGTGTCCAGCGCGCTGCAACGTCCGCAGAGCGCCGGCAGCAGCGGCAGCTTTTCGCTCGCGAATCCGGTCGCGCAAACGGCCTCGAGTGTCGGGGCGTTCGGGAAGAGACTCAGGACGTCGGCGGTGCTAAGGTTGGCAAAGAACGGCGTCCGCGGCTGGAGAAGCGCAACGGCCGTGGGTAGCGGGAAGGCGTCGCAGATTTTGTGGCCTTGGGCGTCGCAGTAGACGCGGTCAAAGCGCGCTTGGCGAGGCATGTCGACATGGCCAAACGTGCTGTTGAGCGGCAGCTCGTGGGACGGCGCGGCCTCGACTGCGCTGGCGTAGCGAACCGTGCGCGACGCGTCCAGCGAGCCCGAGATGCCAAAGAGCACGAGCATGGCCCAGAGCCCGCAGCTCGCAAAGAGCGGCATCGACGTGACCATCGGGTGCTTGGTGAAGAGGAGCGACGTGAAGCTCACGAGCGCGAGCAGCAGCAGCAGTGGCGCGACGAGCAGCACGAGCAGCACGTCGTTGACGAAGACGGCCTCCCAGCCCTGCTGGAAGAAGATGATGAGGTACACGAGCAGGAGGCAGGCCGTGAGGAGCAGGACGATGTACAGCGTCGAGATGAGCTTGGTCGCCGCCATGCTGCTTCTTCACTGCCACTGCCCAACTGCCGGATGGGACACGCGGAAGCCACCACAGCATGTGGGCGCACTCCCTGTTTGCAATCGCTTGGCCGGCGTAAAAAGAGCACTATTACATTCAAAGCTGTATATAGAAGGACAGGTATGTAATCAAATCAATTGTTTAAAGGGAGTTGCACATGAGGATGCGCAAGTACTATGTACGGTGTCCACCTAGATTGAGGGACAAAATTCCATCGCAATCGAGTCGACGTACACCGCACGCATCACACTGCGTCCTCCAAGGAGGAGGTCCTTAGTCCCGACTAGTAGCGCAAAGATTCCTCCTCTCGCCAGATTCTGGTTTTGGACACAATCTGGTATTTCTGGTTTGGCGGTTGGTGCATGGATGTGCCACGCACTACACACGCAGGATGTGCCCGAGGTCACATCGACGTCGCTGTTTATACTACTGTCCGCGAGAAGGCAGCAAGGGTTGTGGTCTTGATTCGTCTCGCTTTGGTTCAAGTCTTCTCGCAAGAGAATCTCTTCCTCCGAGGACTTTGAAGTGAATGCCTCCCACAGTGGACGGGCCCGTGGATACGAATACTACGTGCAGTAGATTTTCCAACGCCCTCCCTCCACGACGCCGGAGTTATCAAGATTAGTAAGCCCTACCCCTCGCTCGCGCGCAGCAACGTGGCGTCGTCGCCGAGGCTAAAGTGCTCTTTGGCTGCCATCTCGAGCAGCGGGTCCACGTCGTAGAGACCTACACGCTTCAAAATAGAGCGATTCTTCTTGTCAAAGTACATTGCAATACCGGCTTCGACGTGGCGGACTTCCGCGGTAAAGTCCATGTAGTCGTGCGTCGCGAGGAGCCGCGGCGCCGCGAGCCGCAGGTGCTACGCAGCGTGCATTTGAGATCGCGTCAGAGAGGCGTCGTACGGCCAAAACGAGGGCGAAGACAACGGCTGTCGACCGCTGCAGCACGATGACGTCGAGGAGTCGGTACGTCGTTTCGGTCGGGAGCGTTTGGCAAAAGAGCGGGAGGAACCACTGGGCCGCGAGCAGCGGCATCGGCGTCTTCAACGACCGGCAGTGGGCGCTGAGCCGCGGGAGGCGCGACCGCAGGAGCCGCTCCAGCACCGCGCCGTCCGTGTGGAGGCCGTCCAGCCCGGCATTGTAATACCTACCATTTCGATGGATGAAATTGCCGCGCGGATCTGCTGTTTTGTACGTGGGAAACTTCTCAAGGCACAGCGACGCAAACACCCAAAACGCCCGCTCGTCGTCGTCGTCCTGCTCGTTCGCGTACAGCGTCAAGAGCCGCGCGCCAAGGTAGTTCATACTCTACTCCATCAAATTATCAAGTTGATACAAACGAGCAGTTGAACGTACCTGGCAGTAACCCAAGGACGGCGCATGTGCGACGAAGGCGAGGAGGAGTCGCTCGAGCCGGGGTCGCACGGATTGCATCATCGGCTGATCCGCAAACGTGCGCTGGACGTCCGAGGCAATGAGGTAATAGTCTCGGATCGTCGCCTTGTCCATCGCGACAAGCTGCGTGTAGTAACCCGCGCCGGCCGCCGCTTGCATGGTCGCCGCGCCTACCAGTCGAGTCGGTTGATGCGTGGAGGATTGTAAACGTACGGCCGCCGATAAAGTAGACATGTCGGCGCAGATCCCGGGGCACACCAGCCCACGCCAACGCCTCGAGCGCTGCGTGGTCATCGACGACCGAGATGTCGTGCCACGCCATGTGCCCATCTGCATCGGCGGTGGTCGGACACGCGCGCGCCCACGCGGTTTGCCGGTAGATCTCGGTGCAGTTGGCCAGCGCCGATGCATACCGGTAGGCCCGCATGTGGGAGGACGGTACCACAAAGCCGTAGTGGTCCGTCGCGTCCCCGGCGTCGTCCGTGGTGTCAAAGAGAAGCGCCACGGCGCCTTCGTTGGCGTCGGCGTTGTCGAGGCGCAGCCATACACTGCGTGGCATCTCTCGCTGCACCGTCGTCGTCGCTCGACCCACAAGGTACGGCCCATCGTCGGCGACGCCGTAGACAGCAACACGCAGCTCCGTTGGCTACACGCGATGATGCCAAGGCCTCGCAAGCAACACGTGTACCTCGGAGACGACGACAGGCAGCGACAGCGACCACTGCGGGTGGCGGTAGGCGTCGACGTCATGGCCGAACGCGGGCTGGAGTCGTCCAAGGTCGCTGCGCACACAATGGCCAGGCGAGACGCACAGCGTCATGTAAAACCGGTGGCTGGCGTGGGTGCGCGGCAAGCGCCGGGCCTCGGCACCGACAAGACGGACGACCGCCGACGACGTCGACGTCGCAGGCAGTGTCCGCGCCGTCGTTTTCACAAATGCAGAGGATCCATTCTCGTTCCAGACTCGCAGTCGAAAGCTGTACTCGGTGTTCGGCTGCAGCTCTGGCACCACACAGCTCTACATCGTGTCACTTGTGCGACCTCGAGACGCTTCAAGATACCGTGGCCGTCGCATCCAGGCGCACGGGGTAGGGCTCCCACCCCCCAATGTACGCGCGGCCATACTCGAGCTCGAGCGTCGCCACCTCGGTGCACCTACCGCAGTTCGCTTGTGCTCGGTATGGACGAAGTGGGTACCGAAACTCCAAGGGCACTGCGTCCACAGACCACGCGAGGCGCACCAGCGTCGCCTGCGCCTACTTCCCGACATCAGAATCCTCGAGTATTCCAACAGCACCAACGTCGGCGGCGTGAAACCCGCGGGGTGGCAATGGCTCGGCGCTCACGAGCTCGAGAAACTCCTTGAGCTCGTCGTTGCCCGCAGGCACCTACAAGCGCTGACCGTCGAGGGTACGAGGTCGCTTTCTACCATGTCGCTGGGCAAAAGTCGTTTGGCGTTGCGCTGCGTGAGCGGGATCGGCGTCTGGAACACGAGCCACTGCGCGAGGTCGAGGTGTCCGTGCAGCGCAGTGTAGTGGAGGCAGTTGCACTGGTGAATGTCGACGGCACTGACGCTGCCGCCGTGTTTGAGGAGGAAAATGACCACCTCCAGGTGGCCTTGCGCGCATGCGTAGTGCAGCGCTGTCTTGCCGTCCACGCTCGTGCTGTGCAAGGGCGCGCCGTGGCGGAGAAGCCTACGACATCCCATCGATCACGAATCCCCAACACGACTGTACCATGGAAACAGATGCACGTGGCCGTTGCCTGCGGCCAAGTGCACGCACGAGACGCCTACGCCACTCTCAGATGATGCGTCGTCGTCGAGAACCGGTGGACCTCGGTCGTCACCGACGTTGAGCGCCTCCGGGTGCGTCGCGTAGAGCTAGCACGACAGTTTGGCATCGATCGCAAGCCAATATTGCAAAGACGTTGTACGCGATCGCAGATACTGAGGACGCCACCTGACATGGCGTCGTGGAGGGGCAAGCGGCCTTGGGCGTTCCGGGTGCATGCGAGGTCAGCGCCTACGACGATTAAAATCATCCGTCGCCGAGAACGTGCATGCACCGTGGGGCTGCTCGAGGAGCCAACTAACGACAGCATCGTTCTTGTAGCGTGCGGCGACATGCAGAAGCGACCGTGCGTCGCTCGGGTGACGCGACAGCACGTCGACGGCCGGCCAGAGCTCGAGGAGAACGAGAAAATGGCCTTGCTGCACGGCTTCAAACGCACGGAGTGTGACTGCATTGCTTGTGCTGTGGGACATATCGACCTCGCTCGTGGCAGCACGGAGCTTTGGCGCGGCGAAGCGAAGCTTTACGGGCCGGCCCACCGCTTGAACGCTACGCTCCGACTATGTCATGGTCTATCCTTGGTGGCATGTACCGTTCGAGAGTGTCCACATAGGCGAGGTTCGACATGTCTGCGTCGTTGACGTGCGTCAGAAGCAGTCCCGGCACCAGTCGCCTACGTGTATGGATCGCCGTGTCGTCGCCGTGGCACAGGATCGTACTTGGCCGCCTCCGTCGTCGACGCATTGTAGAGCGCTGCTGCGCCTGCCGTACCATCGGGCAGCGTCGGTAGGTCCTGAATGCGCGCCGAGTAGGCCACGTCGGTCGAAAGCCCAAAGCCAAGGCCAAGGAAGCCCGGGCCAAAGTGCACCGTAATGGGCTCCAGGCGGCCAGCGCTCCACATTCGCTGCACCTGGAGGGCGGCGTCCGTGCGCGAGCGAAGGTCCTGCTAGCATCGAATTATAAGAAGGCGTGGCAGTCGGGACAAGCGGACCTGGAGGTAGCTCGGCGCGGGCATGGCCACGCCGCCGCTTGACATCCCGACGATCGGATCTTCCCGAATCTTTGATACAATGCAAGCAACACTAAAAACAAATCGGCACACTAAATAATGCATCTGCTGGAAATACTGTTATCTGGCCGGTGGCGATCCAACGACCAGCAACTGCGGCCGACCAGACGCGGGGTCGTCTCGCAGAACCAAGAACCATCGCCGAAACCAGCCTGTAGGGTCAGCTACCGTAGGCAATATTTCGCCGCCGACGTATCTCTGCTTGGCTTCGATCGCCTGGGCACAGTGGGACCGTCCGTCGTTCGATCGACCCAAGTTGCCGGAAGATCGCCGATGCAATTGAAGAGCGACGTGGGCATAAAATTATTAAGAAATAGAAAAAGGACTAGGCGGCGAACGTGGCCATCGCACGCGACTCGTGGTGCTTTGCTGCGACAGCGTCCAAGATGGCCTGGAAGCGCTCCCGTCGGTCGGAAATGAGCTGGCCGTTGTGGCGCGAGAGCGCGCTCCAGAGCGTCACGTCGGGCATGTCGGGCAGCTCGGCGCCGTCCTCGGCTAGGGTCGTGTGCAGCAGCTTGAAGTCGTTGTAGCGCTTCTTGAGAAAGAGCTCATTGGGGCCGAGGATCACGTAGTGCACGGCGCCATTCTCAAACACCGTCTCTTCTTCGATCACGTACACGGGCGGCGGGACAACGATCGGCTCGAGGACGACGGACGCGCTCTTGGAGCCGGACGAGGTCGGTGGCGAGTACTTGAGGCTCTTGGACGCCGGCGCGCTCGCCGTGCATTCGTCCATAAAGGTCGGCGCAGACACTTCGACGATGTCGGCAGATTGCGTGCAGCCCATCGGAACTCAAAGTGGTGCTGGCCGGAAAAGTCGGAAATGAGCTACTTCCGGCTTGTTTTTGGCGCCAGAGAGCGCGATACACTGTATCGCGTACAGAAGCACGTTCGACCATGCACTGGCTCGCAAGCTCCCAGAGGCGATTCGTGGACGAGCACCTTTACAGTGACATGGACCAAACATTCATGACTCGCCGAGACGATGATCTCGCCGCCGGCGCCAGATGCGAGAAAAGGTGGGGTCCCTCCTCTAGCCGCCAAAATTTCGTACGCTTCTGTACGTACGCTTGTATTCAATGTATGTAAGAAAAGAATGTACGTGCCTTCGTACGATGTACGCTTTGACCACCATGCGATGCGCTTCAACGACGGCGGCGCCACGATCTCAATGGAGAGCGAGCGATGAGTGGTGCAATGTAGCAGCCTGTCGCGGCGAAGCGCGTGTCATTTCTCGAATCCATCGATGGGCTGCCAGCAGTCGACGCCCGTGCGCGACCCGCAGCCGGTCGCTGCCGTCGATCTTACCAACAAATCGCTCTCGACGATCGGAGACGCGCTTCAAGAAGACACAGCAGAGAAGTGGGCGGTCACGGTCCAGCGCGTCAAGAGCAATGCCATCCCAGAAGAGGCCAAGACGCCTCTTGCGGCTCAGGGCATGTCACCACGCCGTGTCTCGGTCGCCGCCGACGTTGTTTCGGACCACGCGCCGGTCGCTGCGGTTGTCGACGACGCCATCGCTGAGAACGACGCGGCGCTGGCCACGATCGCGGACGCCTTGGCCGACGACGTGGCAGACAAGTGGGAAGCGCTGGTGCACGAGGTCGAGATCTCGCGCAGCGCACCTGTCTCTGCCACCGAGAAATCGCCCGCAGAAAGCGATACGACCAACTTGGCAGCTGTCGCTGACGAGAACGCCGCTGTGCCTCCGGCCATGGATGAAGCTGCCGACGAAGATTCGCCCATGGAGACGACGATTGTCCAAGCCGAGGGCATCGATCCACCGGCCATCGTCATCGACGAAGTCGAGATGGAAGTCATCATGATTGCGCCGTTGCACGACGGCGACACCATGGACACTGTTGTCGAAGAACTGTCCGAGGTCGACGTCGACGTGGTCGATGCTACCGACGAAGCGACGGACAACGAGACGGTTGATGTTGTTGAAGAGTCGACAGTGGTTGACGAAGAGGAAGTGGATGCTGCCGTGCCCATGCCGCGCAGCACGGTGGGTCAGGAGTATGTGCTGGACGATCTCATTGGGAGCACGGTGCCCGTGCACACGCGCGTCGTGGCCGCTGGCATCGTCGACGAGATCATCGAAAGCGCCGTCGCGCGCGTCAACGCCAAGGAAACCGTTGAGGTCGACATTGACGCCGAGATGGACGCCGAGCAAAAGCTCCTTCAGGTCCAGCACGACCTTGCTGAGATCGCTGCGGAGCTCGAGCAGATCAAGGAAGCAAGCGAGAAGATCGACAGCACGAACGAGTCGGACTATATTGGTAACGAGATCGCGCCACAAGACGAGCCGGTACCACAGTCATCGGACGCCACGACGGCCGACATTGACAACCCAATGGTCCCCAAGGCACCGTCTAGCAAGGCACCGTCAAGCAAGGCGCCGTCAAGCAAGAGCAAGCACTACAAGTCGCTCGGGTCGAGCGTCGAGAGTGGTATCGTCATGTACAACGTCCAAGTCCCAAGCGGCCGCGTCATCCACAAGCGCTACAATGACTTCAAGGTCCTTTACAGCGACATGGCGCACGTCATGCTCGTCAACGACGTCCACGGTGGCGGCGGTCTTCCGCCCATGCCTCGCGCAGGTGCCAAATTCCTCGTCTCGATTCTGTCGGCGTACTAACGCGTGCGTAGGTATGATGTCGCGCTTCACGCGCCAAAACAAGGCGATGGTCCAGGAGCGCGAGCAGGTGTTCGAGTCGATTTTGAATGCGATTGCAGAGCACCCGATCGCGAGCCACAGCCCCGAGTTCCAGCACTTTCTGCGTTAAACGACGCGTGTACTTTTACATATAATGATGACTATAATCCCACGCGACCAAGAAACAAAACTCGTGCTTTCTTTCCGGTACAATGCCGACATAATCTTGAAAAGGAGAGCGGCTATGGACTTGGGTTTGGTTCAGAAAATTCGCGTTCTGACGTGGCAGCTGGATGTGCCTTTGTAACTGTCAATCAATTTTGGTGGGGAAGCAGATGCATTCAGAAAGGCCAGATTGTATCAGTTGTGAGGAGTGACATGCGTCCCAGCTGGGCGTTGCCACGACTGGGAGGCAGAGAGCAGAAGACAGGCAGCACACCTGGGCAGCACCGGTCTCCGATTGGAGAACACGACGAGCTTCGCAAGTCTGCTACAATTTCACTCCAGTCGTCCTTGGTTCTGCATTTCATACACTTGCTTTGGGATGGGCTGCTTCCAATCGACGTCCGCGCACGAGCCTGGGCCAGGACGGCGCCGACAGCAGCCACCAGTGCCCACGCCGCCATCCACTAACACCAACGGCAACTACCCGGACGACAGCAGCTTGTCGTTTTTGAGTGAGAACCCGCCGCCATCGCTCTTGCCGTGCGTATTGAGCTCCGATGTTGCTCAATGTTAAGGTCAATGAGTGTAGGCAGAGCAGCACGCACTCGTCGTTTCCGATGCTCCGGTCGTCGGCGACAAACAGCTACTCGAACAACAAGTCGTACTCGACGAACGCGTACTCCAACAACGGCACAGTGGGCGGCGAGACGTTCCTCGACGTGCCAGAGGACCCGCAGTCCGTGCGCAATATCTGGGACGACGCGACGCAGGCTGAAAACGGCGCTCGGAATATCTGGGTGCAATCCAATAACCCCAAGAGCATGAAGAACATTTGGGGCCTCCTGAGCAACGGCACGGACGCCAGCCACGTCCGAAGCAATGGAACCGGCCTCGAGTCCAACATTTGGTCAGGTCAAACCAAGGTCGACTCCCAGGGCCGCCGCACAAACATTTGGGGCACGTTCATGTCGACTGCGTCTTCGAACGGGCCCAAGTCGGGCAGCCGCTGGAGCTTCATGTCGTCCGGCGACGAAAACGTTTGGAGCCAAGGCACGGACCAGACTGTGGGTTCGAACCCGCGACCACCACCACCACAGTCGGCCGTGCGGTCGACGCGTGACCTCAACTTGATTGCGATCGACGAGGAGCATGAGCAAGAGGTGTTTCGAGCCATGCCTGCAAGGTAAAGTCTCGATGTTTGCTGTGCATTTGCGAAGCGTCCGCTGCGTAGCGACGCACCGGCGACGCGACCGGGTCAAGGCAGCGATACCTTTCTCAACTCGGTCGTCGTGTAAGCAATCGCATACTACACCTTTAATAATATACTAGCCCTTTTATTGACAACCGCGCTCTGATTTGCATTTGTTGTCGACTCATGGCGTGCAGTAGAAAGTCTGCATTGAAGATGAAATCACCCCAAAGACTACAAGTATGCACACTATGAAGTACGTTTAAATCTTGTATACTGTTGTCGATGATAAATTCTCTTCGCCCACATATGACCACGGGTGGCGCAAGCATCCCGCAGGTGGTCACACGAGGCACGACAAGATTCTAAGCCGTACGATCAGCAAAATGGAATGAACAGGGTTTTAGTTGGAGAGCTTGCGCGCGAGCAGGTACATAAAGGGCAGCGAGATGGCCATGAGCACCCAGTTGATGATGAGTTGGTTCATGTACGACACTTCGAGCACGTCAATGCGCCACGAGATGGCGCCACCCGCGCTCTGGAACGCCTTGTACAAACCCACGAAGCGCGCAAGCTCCATCGGGTCGTTGGACATGGCACCGATCATCCAGTAGACGTAGTTTTGGTAAATGGCGTCGACGAGACCGTAGAGCAGGTAGACAATCATGGGGAATGCGGCGCGGCCGCTCTCGAGGAAATCAATGTTCTGCTTCGGGTCGTCGCGCAAAAAGTCTTTTTGCACAAGGACACCGAGGGCCCAGACGACAAAGACGATGACCGTCGTGATGAAGAGACCGATCTGCGCGCGCTTGGCCCGAGTCATGCTCGGCTTGTCCATGACGTAGTTGCCAAAGGCGTAGGCGCCGAACATCTGCATGCCCCAGTAGAGCGCGTTGTTGAGGCCGCGCGTCCGGAGCGAAAACATGTGTCCGTTCACAGCGTTGAACTGGTAGCCGTAGAAAAAGTTGGACGCGAACGAGGCAGGAATGAGGCAGAGCATGCGCCAGTCAAAGATGGCGGCGTAGAGCCCGCGGATTTCAATCATCGCGGACGCGGCCTTGGGGTACTCGACCTGCGTGCCGTCCGAGCGAATCACCGTCGACGGCGCCTTTAGGGCGAGCGCGAGCGACGTGCCGATGGCCATGGCGCAGATAAAGCCAATGTACGTCGCGTTGTTGACGCTGGCGGCGGTCGAGTTGTAGTTGAAGCCAAAGGGAATAAAACCACCGAGGACACCACCGAGGTTGAAGACGACCCAGAAAATTGAAATGAACTTGCCCTTTTCGTTTTCGGTCGGGTACGCAAGCATCATGGTGCCCTGGGCCGTCCAGAGCAAGCCGGCGCCAATGCCGAGAATCGCGCCCGCGACAATCACAAACGTGCCGTTCTGCGTGTAGTTGTAGCTGAGAAGCGAGCCGGCGTAGAGGGCATACGTGCAGCCACCCACAAAGAGCGTGAGGCGCGGGCCCAAAAAGTTGTGCACTGAGCCGGCAAAGACCGAAAAGCCAGCGAAGCACGCGTAGAGAGCCACATTGGCGTTGGAGCTGACCTTGTCGTCGACCTGACCGCCGCCACCGAGACCGTTGAGCGCGTTGAACATACCGGGGCAGCCGAAGCAGATGAGGCCGAGGAGCAGGATCTGCGCAAACGAGTTGGCCTTGCCAGCGTACTTGAGGCCGCCTTCCATGGCGTAGTCGGCCGTCGGCGTCGCGACGACATCCGTCGTCTTGTCCATCGTGGTGTGTTGCGGACGAGGCAAAATAGAAAGTGAGCTCCACATTCCACCACGATTCGGCTCCTAGGTGAGCTCGTCGAATTGCAAACCCAACTTCAACCGGCTTGATACGCAGACTCGTCTAACATATCCCCAGGCCTTGTAATGCACGTAATTCAAAGCATCACCGTCTTGTCTCATAGCTGCTAGTACCATATGTCCGTGTCCCTTCTTGACGCGTGATATCGTCCGATCTTCTTGCCCTTGCACTTGTTTTCCATTTTCGATGCATTTAATTATTGGCGTTCCCGCCACAAACCGACGTGTCCCGCGACACCAACTTCAACTTCAAGTTGGTCATGGTCCCACCTTACGTGTACATGGAGCGATAGCAGCATTTGGTGCCTGGAGCAATACTTGTTGACAAATAAGTGCACTTCATACAGTCATTAAGAAAGAGAAGAAGGGAGCTCATACATGTACGGCGTGGGGTATAAACGTTTGTCATCGACTGCTCGCCGTGCAGTGCGCGGCCTTTGAAAGCACGTGCTTGAACTTGCATCTTGCGTGCGCGAAAGCCGTAGAAAACAACACAAATTGACTAACTGACGCGCACGACTCGTGGCGAAGGAGTGGCCACGACAGCGTAACATGCCTAGCTTACAGTCACGGACGCGAATTGCACTGGTGCTTTCTTCTGCGTCGTGCTTGAGCATCTCTCCTCCAAGTGTTCTGCAGCTCACGTGATAAAGTGGGTTGGACCTTCTGTCCTGTTGCAAAGCCACGAATAGCGTGCGGGCGCGCCGATCTATCGCGTTTTCATCTCGTGTTGCTGGATCACCCAAGCGGCACGAGCAAGGAAAAGCGTCACTGTACTGCAGGCACACGAAGAGAGGGAATTTGATGTCCACTGCCACCCAAGGACGACTCGCAGCTTAAAGATTGGCGCACACTAGCGAGAACGTGCGAGTCCGAGTGTCGCTGCGACGCAAGCAAGTGCAATCCAGCCCCCTTGCTGAAAGGTCAAGTCGTTCATTCATCCATCTTTCAGGCGCCTCTCAACGCCGCGACACCAATTACCCTCATCCTCGACAATCCAATCCAATCTAAATGACACGTCAAACGATTTGTTTGATTCAACACGACACAAGAGTTACTAGAATCGCACTCGGAACGCGTCCGACTTAGTTGGAGAGCTTGCGGACGACGAGGTACATGAACGGGAACGGGATGGCCATGAGCCCCCAGTTGACGATGAGCTGGGTCATGTACGACACTTCGAGCACGTCAATGCGCCACGCGATGGCGCCACCCGCGCTCTGGAACGCCTTGTACAAACCCACGAAGCGCGCGAGGTCCATCGGGTCGTTGGACATGGCGCCGATGACCCAG